GAAATTAGAACAATTTTGAGTGAACATCTAACAAATATAGAAAACTTAAGGTTTTATTTTCCAGTTGATAAATCAATAAATATCAATGAAAATGAGATGTTTCTATACTTCAATGAAATGGTAACATTTTTAGACCCAAAATACTTGCAAAAATATAAAGAATTATTTCCAGATTTCTCTTATTTTCTGGTTTATTTTGGTGATCTTTTTAAAAATGGAAACGGTGTTACACAAGATTATAAAATGGCCAAAAAATTATATGAAATGTCAGAGTTAAGAAATAATAATCCAATTGCACAATTAAATTTGGGTGATTTTTATTGCAAAGGTTTGGGAGTTGAAATTGATTATACAAAAGCTAGAGAATTTTATGAATTATCAGCTAAACAAGGAAATGGAGATGCATTAGATTTCTTAGGAAACTTATATTTGCATGGAAGGGGAGTTACAAAAGATTATGACAAAGCAATTGAATATTATAAAGAAGCACAAAAAAAGCAAAACGCTGATGCAATTTTCACCTTAGGCTATCTTCATTATACAGGACGTGGTGTAAAGCAAGATTATGGAATCGCTTTAGATTATTATAAACAATCAGCTGCTTTAGATTATTCTTATGCATACAATGGATTAGGGAACATTTATTCATTAGGTCTTGGCATTGAAAAAGATTATGTTAAAGCATTAGAATATTATAAAAAAGCAGCTGATTTAGGCAATTCTAATGCTCTTTTGAATTTAGGAAATATTTATTCAAATGGTGATCTTAATATATCTGTAGATAACATAAAAGCAAAAGAATTTTATGAAAGAGCGGTAAATCTTGGGAATACAAAAGCAATGAATTCATTAGGAAATTTATATTTCATTGGGAAAGGAATAGAACAAGATTATGAAAAAGCTTTATCTTATTTTAGAATGGCTGCAAAAAAAGGAGATTTAGATTCTTACAATATGATTGGATATTATTATGATAAAATTGAACAAAATTATGGAGAAGCAAAAAAGTTTTATGAAATAGCAGCCAAGCAAAATCATCCAAACGCATTAAATAATTTGGGATGCTTATATTATCATGGCTGGGGAATGGCAAGAGATTTTTTTGAAGCAAAAAAGAATTTCGAAAAATCTGCAAGTTTAAATAATGCAAGAGGATTCTTCCTTTTGGCTAGATTATATTTGAATGGTGAAGGGGTTAAAAAAGATATTTTAAAAGCAAAAGAATTATTAATAAAATCAAAGAAGAAAAATTATCCTAGTGCACTTTTTGTATTGGGTGATATTTATTTCAATGAAAAAGATTATGCAAAAGCAAAAGAATGTTATGAAGAAGCATTAAAGTCTAAAAACAATGATGCAGCCTTGAAATTAGGAATTTTGTATTTATATGGTTATGGAATCAAAAGTGACTATAAAACTGCATTTCATTATTTTCAATCATGTGAAAAAGAAGTGAATATTAATGCTTTATACTATCTTGCTTTGATGTATGAAAACGGAAAATGTGTTGATATTGATATAGAGACTGCAATTCAATATTATTTAAAAAGTATTTCTTCTCAAAGTGAACATTATAAATTAATTTATAATCAAGGATATGTTACTGAAGTTCGAAATAATGATTATTATTATATTTCTTATAATAATCTTGGTTTGATTTATCTTTTGGAAAAGAATGATTTAGACACAGGTGTAAAATATATAAAAGAAGCTGCTTTTGCCGAATATCCATTTGGTCAGAATAATCTTGGTTTAATAAATCAATTTTTCAAAGGAAATAAAAAAGAAGCAAAACGTTATTTTGAAAAAGCGTTGAAGAACACAATTGTAGCTGTTAAATTTCCATTAGTTGAATATAATCTTGGTTATTTTTATGAAGTCGAAGAACAAAATAAAGATGAAGCAATTAATCATTATATAAATGCATTAGAATATGAAAATGCACCATTAATTTATAAAAACGTTGAAATAAAAGATGAACGTTTACAAATATCAAACCTTTTTATCAATTGCTATTTACATTTTAAGCTAATCCTAATGCAAGAAAAGATAGATGTGACAAAAATGTTTATTATAGCATTATTTAAACCAATGTTTTTCCTTCTTTTTCAGTCAGATTATCATTCATATTCGTTCCAATTTCTTTATCAAAAAGTCCAAGAAAAAAAGTATTTAATAAATGTCAAAGATTTCATAATAAACTTTCCGTTACTTCGAATAAAATCATCTCGATATGGATGGCAAGCAAAAAAGGAAGATTCAGCATGTAAAAGGTTAATCATTAGATTAGATGTAAAAGAAGAGAAATTAAAAGACAATTTTTTAACTAATGAAAAAAATAATATTATATCAAATGACATAAGTAATGATAACGAATTTGATCCCTTTATAAATGATTCATCATTTCATCAAAAAATAGATGAAATATTGAATGAAATAAATCAAGATAACAGGTTCCAAATCACTTCATTAAATGCAATTGAAAATGAAACTCAAATATCATTTGAATTCAAATTTGCCTACGATGATGTTGTTCGATGTTTGCAATTCCCAAAATGCATATTTTCGTTGTTATTTCAAGATTTGGTGAGATTAAAACAAATGGCTGAAGAGATTTGTATTGATATGAAAAATGCACTATACAAGCCCAATTATCCTATTTTGTTTGGTCGGTTTAAACAAAATAATGACCTTAATATTTAAAATTATATTTTTATATATCATTTCATAAATATTTCATTCATTTATTTTTATTTTTAACAGCAAAAATTTGATAAGGAAGGAAATTTGGATAGCTTTTGTTTTTGATGTTTCATTCATTAATTCGATTTGATGAATATTTCGGGGAATATATGATCAATTTTTAGTGTTGTGATTTAAATTATTTCATTACTGCCAATAAATGTTAGGCAATCAGTATATTCTACAAAACCTACATTCAATAAGTTTTAAAAATGTTTTTTTTTTTTTTTTTTTTTTTTTTTTTGAGTATATAAAAAAAAAAAAAAAACAATAGAAATAACAAAATTTTTTATAACAATGAGCATTGTGCTGACTTATTCATGATGATGAACCTTAAACAAAATTCGTGCTAATATTCAATCCTTTTTGTTTGTTTTATTTCACAACATAAATTGAAAATAATATGGAAAAACAAATCAAATTTTCAATTTTGATATCAAAAACAAAAACTTATAAAAAATGCATTCATATCAACTTTATTATTTGCTCAGTTCTCATTTGCTATGTTAAACTTAGAATTTTTTTAATGTATCGATTCAAATTTGAATGATCTCATTGAATTTTCAAATGAATATAAAATGTTCTGGGCAAACATGAAGTTTGATTATAAATCATAAACGGATTTCAAAACATTAATGAAGGTTCATAACTCAAAGCAAAGAATGCTGGCCTGCGTGGACAGTAAATTTACGCCAATTTTTCAAAAGAAAAAAGAACAATACACTCCAGTTCTCATTTTAAATGCAGAAAAGCCTCAAAATGCCTTTAAAAGAGAAGAAGAAGAAGAAGAATCAATTTGAGACGATTGAGATTGACAAATCCGTCATTGATAGAATGAGGAATTTGATTTGCCAGTTGTTGATGATCATTGATATTGTTCAAAAACAAAAGAAAACGTTTAAATCAATTCAAACCCAAACCGATCGACAACTAAAAATTGGTGAAACTAAAAAGGCAGGTAATTGGATGATTTTGGAAAAAGAAAGCATTAAAAGTAGAATTAATGAAGAATTTGATATTTTTTCAGAAAATGATTCTTTCGAAGATCAAATGCATAAGATATCTGCTCTTTTGAAATATTATGATGAAATTTTAGAGAAAAAAAAGAGTAAATAAAATATTGAAAAAATTCTTATTTATTTGTTTTCATATCTTCTCTTATTTTTGAACTTATTAGTGCAAAAAATTATAATTATGTATAAAACAGAAAAGAAAATATTTAGCAATCTTCGGATCTGAAATTTGATTTTTCATTGACATTGAATAGAAATTTCACTTAATTTGGGACCATTTATGAATTGAAAAATAAAGCCTAATGAAGAGAATAAGAACTTATATATAAAGCAATACTAAATAATATCATTACAAAAAATAACAAAAACTAGCAATTTCAAAGATAAAAAAGTGTAAAAATTCAAAAATAATTTGAAATATTATTCAATATGAAACACAAAAGAAAAATGATTATAATAAAAATTAAAGATATTGAGATAAATTCTATTCATGTTGATTTATTTGTCAATTTTACCTATCAAATTTTTGAATTCAATCAATTAAAATGAATAATAATCTATTCCAAAGAGAAGAGTTTTACACAAAAGAAACATTATATCATTTTGGATTGATGTCACTTTATATGAGCAGAATCTGCATTTTACATAATTATTTTTATTTCCATTATAATGAACATGATATTCTATATGACATTAACTACAAGATTGACGAACTAGATCTGAAATTGAATGAAAATCAGCTCCACAATACATGTAGGCCAATAAAGTTGATATGGGTGTGAATAAAGCATAATGACAATTTGGACTTCTTAATGAAGTTTTATGAAATATTGTTGAAATTTTTGTGAATTCTTATCATATATCTACAATATTTCGAATAATAGCATTGACCACCATCCTTTGTTTCTTTTTTGATATGCATCATCATCATAAACTTGCAAAATCAAATCATATGAATTCGAATCCAATATTTCACATACTTTTTTGGTCATTATTATTTAATACAATCCCCATATTTCTTTACAAATTCTAGCAATATCTTAATTTTAAATTAATTGACAAACCCTTTTTTGCATAATCAATCAAACTTTCAAAATTTGATAAATCATTGGCTTATGAATGATTTCTTAGTAGTACACAATCTTTTATCACATATTGAGATGAACAATAAAGTCCAAATAATTAAAAGTTCCAATGAAATTCCCATATTATATTTTATATATGTTTTAAGTAATAATAATAACAGCTCTCATAGCTTAATAGGAATAGCGTTCGCTGGGTCAGCGGAAGGTTGCGCGTTCGAATCGCGCTGGGAGCATTTTTTCGTTTTTTTTTTTTTTTTTTTTAAATTGTAAAGCACGATAAAGTTTCGAAAAGTTAACACTGATTTGATAATGCAAGATCTCAATAACTTGCGCACAAAAATTAAATCTAATTTGAAATCAATGAAAAAAATATCAAAGATTATTAATTATATCAACGCAATTAGCCAAATCAACACTGACCAAATTACAGACATAAAGGATGTCGAATAAATTTTACTAGAAAAAATTCCATGGAAAGGCAAGGTTATTATTGTTCTACTGAAAAATAAAATTAATGAAACATTTAGAAAGAAGTTAGCAACTGGTTTATTTTTTTATCTTTTGTATTTTTAAAATCAGCAAAAACTTGATTATGTATAAGAAGATAAGAATCAAATTTCATGATATTTCATGATATTTATATATCAAATCTGGTATAAAGAAAAAAAAAATAGAAAATGAAATTTTTATCATGAATTAGAGTAGATGATTTGTTGTATTTACATGTTTGAAATTTAAAAGGATAAACTACTTAATATTTAGGAATTCTTTTTTTATGCTCTTCAACAAATTTGCGAACTTCAGTGACCTCAGATATGGATAAATCAACAACTTTATAATTATTAATTTCAATACTTTCTCATATTTTTTCGAAGCATGGCCTCTTTTTGGGATCCATATCCCAACAATTGTTAATTAATTCACTGGAATTAATTGTTAAATATAGAAAATTGAATGAGAGAAATAGAATTTCATCATCTAATGACCAATTCAAATATATAGAACAAAAATACTTAGTTGGTAAAAGTAATCAAAATAATGATGATTTTGACATTGTTTGCGCGCGGTGATATCAAAGAAATTTCTATTCCATCGAATATCAAACTCAGACCGTTTTTTGAATAAAAATGCATATATACGATCAAAAATTTGAATATAAATATATGTGACGATCATATAAAGTATTCAAATTATATTCAATTTGTTGTCTGACTTTTTACTTTCAGTTTATTTAAAAATGCAATCTATTCAATTTTTTTATCGAAAAATTGAATAGAAAATGGTAGGTGGGTTTTCCAAAAATAGGTGAAAAAAATGGTAGAGGTTTTTTCATAAAAAAAAATGTTTTAAGATGATAAATTCAATTAATATTTGGTCAAGATCAGAAAACAATCAGAAAACAAAGTTCATAAAAACAATCTGGTTTTTTTGCTAAATAATGATGAAATATCATCTCAGAACCTCATATATTAGTTGAAAATGGTTGTCAAAACTATTGTTTATACTTTGATTAAAAAATTAAAATGCTTTAAAAATCTTTTGAACAAAAAAATTCATACTAAGCGAATCATAATATTTATTTTTCATTTTTTACATAATGAGGCTTGAACTACTTATTCAGTCATCGTGTAAATAACGATTAAGCTCAATATATTTATTTTTCACTATTTCGAATTTAAACATTGAAACTATAAGAAATTTTGATAAAATTCTGATTTAAAAATAAGAAAAAAAAATCATAAATTTTTACACGTTAGGCGTGGTACCAACTGCAATAATTAGTTATTATATTTCTCATATAAATGTATTTATCAAATATAATTATTAAAGTAATAATTAAAAGAGGTAATTTGGGGAAATAATAAATAATAAAAATTTATATTGAAAATTTGTTCGTTTATTTTTTACGAGTTTGAACTACAAGATGGTTGTATCAATAGCACACCAAATCTTAAAACTATCATAATTGGCCAGACAACAAACATTACAAATCAATTGGTGGCGAATTTATTGTTGGAAAAAAAAGATCAAAAAAGTGACACTTTTCATGAAAAAACAATTTACAAACCTTAAAAGAATTATAAAACGAAAAAGTTGATAATTATTTATAAATTCTTTGATTTTTTTTTTTTTTTTTTTTTTTTTTTTTTTTTTTTTTTTTAAGGTACAAATCCAGTACGTTTAGAAACCGCAATTTTTTTTGACATTCTCAAAGAATAAAATGACATGTTAAATAAAAAACGATTATTTTCATCCATTTCATATAATATGTCATAATGCTTATTTAAATTGTAAAATAAGTGTCAAAAACAAACCTAGTCAATTTAAACTTTTTCAGAGACATGCAACTATTCAAATAATAAACGTTCTCCTATTCAAAAAATAACGTACTGGATTTGTACCTTAAAAAAAATTATGAATAAGCTCTAAATTTGCCATTTAATAAATTAAAGCATCCAGAAAAGGCATTTTCTTTAAACCTATATAAGAAGCGATGACACTCCACATCTGTTAGTGAAGTGCATAATTGAAAAGCAAATTCACCAATTGAAGTCATAGGATTTGGAATTGATACTTTCTTTAATGATGTGCAAAATTGAAAAGCGCATTTTCCAATTGAAAGTATTGAAGGAGGAATCGATACATCTTCTAACGATGTGCAATAATTGAATGAAAATTCACCAATTTTATTAACTGAGGGTGGAATCGATATTTCTTTTAATGATGTGCATTGGTTAAAAACACAATTGTTGATTGATGTAAAAGATGATTGATTTTCAAAATATACATTTGTTAAAGATGTGCATTGTTTTGAATTTGTTGCAGCTACTCTAAAATTAATAATATAAAGAAAAATCAACCTTTCTCAAAAAAGAGTCCATAGCCAATATATTACATTCTCGACTGAATAATACAGATTAAGCCAAAACATATACATAAAATATATAAACTAGTCGAATATTAAAACTAATTTGGATTAACTTAGCATCATATAATTAAAATATCTTATTTAAATTAAAAAATATTTTTAAGATATTTGCATTTTTTTGATAAAAGAACCAGATATTCATTTTGTCTCTTATATATAAAACAATTTTTTGAAGACAAAAAAAGTTTCATTCGTTATTGCCCTCTAAAAATTTTTTGAAAAATGCTGTATTTTTTGGCTCAATTCAAATATTTAACTACTTGCGACATGAATGTACCTAATTAACGCCATTGTGGATGATAGTTGTATGAATTTAATCAGAATTGTAAAGTTGAGGTAATGTAGAACCAAGTATGAAGAAATATAAGTATTTTCTTGCAAATGATAGCTTTAATCTGGGAAATGTTAAACATAAAATAATTCTAGCTATTTAAGAACCTAATTTTCTTTTGGCCACCACAAAAAGTAATGAAAAGATTTTTTATTTATTTTATAGTCATAATAACTAATCTTGAAGCTTAAACGCTGAATAGGCTTGTTATTCGATATCAATTATCATGTTTGGCACTTTTTTTAACTCAGATAATCGATAATAAAATGCTATCGATTGCAAATATTAATTGATAAATTCGATTATCAAGTATGAAATGTGATACAAAAAAAATATTCTTTTGATATCGAATCTTGATTAATCGAAATTAATACCTGAAAAAAACATTAAAAATAGTATTATGTTGGCATAAAATAAATATATTCTAACTTATTATGTTCAAGAATCAGCTTTTATTATATTTGATAATGGATATGTGAAGTAATCAGTTAAAAAAGTTGATATATCAAAAAAGTTGCACTTTTCAGACAAAATGCTCTCAGACTGAGAGTCTCAGTTTTTTTTCAATCATTTCTATTCAATTCGAAAACTTTTTTATGATAAAAAAAGAGTTGATATTTTCATGATTTAATTCCAAAAAACAAGTCAAAATAAGTTCATATATGAATATTATAATAAATAAGATTGAGAGGATTTTGTCCGAAAAGTGTAAAGTTTCTCAATATATCAAAAAGTTTACAAAATTTTCAATATTTATAATCGATCTTTTAAACTAGAATTTTTAATGTTCGGTTTAGTACACTTTTCAAATACTTTTATTCTATTAAAAAATAAATAAATATATATATATAATAATATATTTATTATCTATCTAATATATAAAATCTAAAATAATAATTATATTAAATATAATAAATTATAAACAAAAATAAAGCTGTTTTAAATTTCATATAAACCGAAATCCTAGTTTATTTTGTTCATTATTGATATCAGAGATAAAATTTTTGATTTGATATTGATATCAGAAAAATGGATCAATTATCGATATCGAAAATCGAGACTTAACAAGCCTAACGCTAAACTTATATAAAATATTTATAAAGAATCTGTTAAATTAATTCAATATTTTCAAATATATATATTAATATATTTATTAATAATATCTTTTAAATTTGGAAAAATATCTTAATATTTTAATTAATATAAATATAAATGATTAATATATTATATTATAAATAGATTTATCATTAAATATTTTGTATATTGATTTGTAAAAAGAAATATTTTTCATTTTTCATTTTAATATATTGAAAAATTGAATATTATATATTCTCGATAGCTACTTTTTGATAAAAACTTAAAAATTTGTCAAAAATCATTGAAAATATTAAATAAACTATTTAATTATTTTCTATAATTTGAGTGTAAGAGTTTATCATTTTATTTGAAAAACTCAACTGTATATTTATTTTATTATTTTATTTTTTATACAAATTTTATTGTTTTTTAGATATTATTTTAAAAAATGAAATCATAAAAAGAAAATATTAAAATAAAAAAATAAATAAAATGCAAAATATTGTTATTTAGCAAAGATATTCATATCTATTTATTTCATATCATTTATAGAGAATTTATCGTCAATCACTTTAAAATGATAATTCCCATTATTTTTGCATTCTTTTCCACATTTTCTTCTTCTCAAGCCTCAGAAGATGTTGGAATGAGCGAAGGCTCATCATTTACTTTCGTTACAAGCCGAAATAAGGAATATACTTTAAATCCTGTTAATTCAAATGAATATAAATCATCAAGCTCATATTCATTTTTCCGCAAAGCGAAACAAGATAGTAACGTTAAGGAATGGTATTATGTTCATATAAAAAGTAATTATCTTTCCGAAGCCCAAAAATACGTTCAAATAAAAGCTCAAGATCAAATAATCAAGAATACTTTTATGCTATACTTATCCC